TGTCAGGGATGCAAGGATGAAGTGAAAGGAGGAAAGTGAGAGAGAAGATGGAAAATGATGACTGAGAACGGGGGGGGGGTTAATGACCGAGGCCATGAACATTTATGCTATATAAATGTATAGTTGCTTCTCGTGGATACCCCCGCATCTGTACACTCAGTTGGTACAGCCCTCCGACAATAAAACCACCTCCAGTCGGTCTTGATGTGGCACTTTCACTCCGTTCTCCGGCTGACACAAGTCACCGGCCTGCTTTCGAACAGGAGGAGGCTGCAAGCAGACCTCCATGCCGGCTCCATAGGGTACAAGGAACACGCCCAACATGGCGTTCTGTACACAGTTGGCTGGAGAGGCGGAGGGATGCTGCAGGTTTTCTGGGCTGTCAAAGCCCACGTATCTCGACTCTGACAAAGAGACAAAAAACTATATTTATATATCATATATAAATATATTTTTACGTGCCACATCCTGTCTTATCTGCCTGTGCCACACCGGCGTGAAGCTTCTCAGCATGAGTGAGTATTGCTCACATACATGAATACGCCCTCACACGCTTACACTTTTTTCACCTTTCTGTCTTTTCGTTTTGCTTGACTGGTGGTGATACATTGTGTTCAGATGTGTAACAATAATAGGGGTGACTGTACAAATGGATGCTTGATCTCAGGAGGTAAATGTCATCATCTTAATCATTTTATATGTACATTTAAATTATATTTATTCTTTATTTTTTGCATGTTTTCTGCTGAGCATAAAGTGGAAAAAAAAAAACTGAGGGTGGGGTTTTTCTTGCACACTCACTTGGGCTGTGGTCAGCTCATTTAGTAATGCCAATTTTTTTTGACTTTCACAATGACTTGCAAAGTGGGCAGAGCTTTTCCCATTACTGCTCTTTAACTACTGTATGTATACCTTTTTTCTGTTGGTCTTTGTTTTTGGAGACCAGGTAGCACAAGGACCAAAGAAAAGGTAAAATTTCCCAGAACATGCAAATATACTGTCATCAAATAAAGGGTTAGTGAAATTATCTTTATCAAAGCTAATGAATAAATGGCCTCTCTGTCTGCAGTGTCATTTTTCACAGACATTTGAAATAACATATCTTCCAAAGTAAAAATAGAGGAGTTTTATGTTCAATGTTAAAAAAATGATAGTGCTGCTTGTCTTTTTTCTTTTGTTTGGGTGTAGGTTTTTGTGAACGGTAGTGATTAAAAGGAAAAATAGTCATGTATATCAGCTGTATTTATTTCAGTTATTGGTCATTTAAAATTTTCCTGTATGCATTTCTATTTCTGTAGAAGCTTCTGGACTGTCTGGCCAGCAGGATGTGGGTGTTCACAGTGGGTTGCAGATCTCTTAGGATACACAATACAGGGGTGGGGCATTAGAAATATACATCCTTACCTATTCTATATCATGAAGCCCAGTGACTGTGTAGTTGTGTTTGCTAAAATGTCTGGTTTTAACACCCATTTTCAGCTGGCCTTTATGTCTTTGCCAATGAAAGAATAGAAGTATTGAAGCACTGGCAGTGTTCAGCCGCTGAAAAAATCCTGGTACAGAGTGTCTCAGACTGAAAAACCTGTTCGGATTGTCAGCTGTTTAGTGCATACAGTATTAAAATCACCCTGATACTGACCCGACAAATCTTGATTAAAGCAGGTAAAAATAGTTAGCTTTGCTATTTTATTTTTTTATTTTTAGTTCCTTTAGGTAAAGACTGTGTGTGTGTTACAGTACATCAGTGTCAGACCCATTTATTTTCTTAGTCAACTCAGATTGCAGGGCTGTTTTTTTTTTTTTTTTATGATTGTAGAAGACTAGCATTCTAAAAAAAATCTGCTTAATTTGAAAAGGAAAGCTTTTTGCATCTCAGACAAATGGGACTTTTTGGCTGCAGCTCTTGGCTAAGTTGTCAGTTTACATTTGGCACAGAAAATGGTGTATAAGCAGTTGTTGGCAGTGCAAATTCAGCTAGAAAATGGCAGCACAATGACAGCAATGGAAGGTCCTGAATTTACTGCTGAAGCAAAAATGCTGAGGCGACATCCCAGTTGTGTTGGGCACCAATGGCTATGGTGGTTTTAAAAAGAGCAACATTCAGTTATTGCTTTTATCACACTTTCTTGAATTTACTGCAACCTTAAGAGCCAATGTGAATATTAACACAGTTGTCTGATGAGATTAATTTCTTTAGTCTTGTCTTTTTTCTCTTTCATTTTCTTTTGCATTTATGTTTTACTCCTGAATTAAGCTCTCCATTGAACACTGACCTGAGCTACTATCTGGCTATTGTGGATATATATTGATCTTTAAGCTGCCTCTTATAGGAGCAAATAGAATTGAGAAGAAAGGTGGTGAAAGGAAGCCAGAAGTGTTGGCGAAAGTTGGCAAAAATATTTTTTTCTCCCCTAACAAATTCAGATAAACTACTGGTAAAAGATCAAACAAGGTTGAGATCCTCTGGACGGGTTCTTCTTTGTCGAACCGTTTTGTCTTTTATCCAAAAGATTTTTTTCATTCAACCTTTATTTATACAGGTTAGTCCCATTGAGCCTCGTGGACTCATTTACAAGAGAGACCTGCAAAGGCAAAACTAGTTATCTTCAGGTTTCTTCAGTCTGAGGAGCTGCAAGCAAACTCAGTCTTCTAAGCAGCATCTTCTCACAGTAGATCAACCTGTTGTTGGGAGGGGTGGGGGTTGTCCTGTCATAATAAATTAATAACGTGAGGGAGATTGGTTACCACTTTGATTGTACGGTGGATAAGTGTCTGTTTCCTTTCGTCTGTACTGAGGACATCATTAATCCTGACCTAAACTCAATTAGCAGGAAAAAAAACGCCTCAAACTTGCTGGAAACATCTACCACACTTTACTGTAATCTGCTCATGCTTATGGTTTTACCAACTGCCTTTTTGTTACAGCTATTTTTTTTTTTTACTTTACTAGTCCTACAACCTTTTCCAGTTTGAGCTGATGTCATTATTATCACTCTGATTTCAGACAGAAGATAACTTTCATTTGTAATACTTTTATTAAGTTTCTTTGACCAACCACAGCATATTTTCTTATAAATATACCTGACTTTGCAAGTATATTTATAAGAATTTATGTTGTTTTAAAGGCAAAGGGTGGTATCACCCAATATTGTTTTGATTTAGATTCTACTTTGCATGACTTCGCAGTTGCACAAACTACAAATTATTTGATGTCTTTAGGAGAGAAGAAAGTAAAATTTTGGGACACACTTATGATAAAAAGTGCAGACAACACGATTTGTTCCATACATTTAGGTTCTGTTCACCAATCTGCTACTGTAGTAACTGTGTCGCATGGTCTCTAAACAACAGATGGCTTTCTCTGAAAAACCCTAGGGGTGCATCAGCATGTGTAGGCATAATTGATTTATCATTATTGTTTTTTATCTGGTAAGAATGTATTTTGAAGCATATAGAAAGTAATTGTTCCTAGAACCGGTAAGGTTCAGAATGTTACTCTAAATGCAGAGTTCTGTGCTCCGATTTGCTTTCAGTTTGTCGGCTGAAACAAATGAGAGTGACGAGGGATTAGTAAAAGGTGAAGTCCTAAAACTCTGAGATAGAAATGGGACAAAAGTCGGCGCAGCAGCACAGACTCATGGGAGAAGAGATTAAAAATGGAGATAGCCAAGAGCGCCACCTTCCCAGTAGAACCAAAAAATCTCTACTGGGCTTTAGGAAAGTCAAAGTGTCTCACCAGGTGCTTTTTAAAATTCAGTGTTCCTACAAGTGCAAAAACAGCTGGTGATGAAACTTCACCAACAGCTAATTGGTATGTAATTACAAATATTTAAAAATGGGGAAAAAGAAGCGATAACTTAATATACATCAAATAAATACAATTTAAATGTGAGCAGAGTTACTGACTTGCATATTAACAAATCTGTCCAATAACGTAGGCACTTAAATTAAAAAAAAAGAAAAAAAAAGAGAGAAGTAATTTAATGTATTTTCTTGTTGATTTATTAGGGAGCATAGTCTTTCAAAAAGGCTTTTGCCGAGCCAAAGTGCTCATGTATTTATAAAAAGCAGTTTAATCAAATATTTAATGGCAACAAAATGAGACAGCTGTAGCTTTGATAATTGATCATCACTGTGGGAATTTGTAGGTTTCGTAATTTTCACTGTAAAATGCTCATTTAATATGAAAAAGAAGCTGTTACAAGACACAAGCTTTGAATACATGAACCTAGTTTGTTTTTCCTATTAAAAAACCCCCCTAAAACATTTAATGTGTTTTATCTTTTAGTTACTAAGACAACGGCAGATTTCTGTTTGCTGGCTACTTTATCTAAAATTTAGTCTACTGTTTTTCTAGTTTTGTACTTTGTGAAATGGGACATTGTTTTAGCTTTGACTCATTTACTCCGATGTTACTCAGATGTTTATATATTACAAATCTGCAGATTAGTAGTTCTGTCCAAGGAAAACATGTAAAAATCTAATAAACTTGTCCTTCCATCCAGGGTTTTGTAGAAGTACTGCTTGTTCACTAACAGGTTTGATTTTATATATTAAATAAACAGTGTTTTATATATAAAAAAAAAATTATGTGATTTTTAAGACGTAAAAACTTACCTTTATCATAGAAAAAACTGAAGGTGAGCATTTATGCTGTTACAGCCATCTTGAGTTCAAACCAAAATGGTGCCTATGCTTATTGCTGTCTCATAGTAAACTGCGTGTTTTAAGCTGTTTCATTTAACTGTGTAAAATAAAAACTATTCGTAAAATAAAAACTATTCTAAACTGGAGTGACAAGGAACAGGAAATAATGCAAGTTGGGAAGTTTCTATCTCCAAATGAGTTGACGATTGTTCAGCTATTAAATGTGTCTCACACTTTGTACTTCCAGTGTTCGTGTTTCATTTTGTCCAAAGTAGTACAAGCATCTGGTTTCTTGATTTAGTTCTTGTCTGTCACTGTGTCTCATCTTCTGTTTGTCTCTGCCTCGTTCACAGGGGTTCTTGAAGAACGAGAGGGACAACGCCCTCCTGTCAGCCATCGAAGAGTCTCGCCGCAGGGTCAGTATCTGCCACGTCTGATTACTTCTCTATTTAAAAAGGGCGTTGTTCTCCTGATTCCTGGTCTGCAGTAATCCGGCACTTGTACCTTTTAACATTAGTAAATGGACAAAAAGTAAGATCAAAATGGAGTAATTGGTCTTAATATTCAAAGGATTTTCTGTTTCCTTGTTCTACTTTCCCAAATTCATAAATTTTCAACACTGTACTGTTTATTAAGATTAGCACCTCAATATAACGAACTCCTAACAAGCAAATTTTAGGAATTTGTGCTTGCTGTGATCTGAAAGTCCTTCTAGTGTGAACCTTGGGGGAATGATTTTGAAACGGCCTCCCTGATGTGCAGAGCTAATAGGCCCTGGGTATAATTAGCTGCCAATCCCATTATCTTTCTGCTCCCCGAGAGAGGAAGGAGGATGTGCGTGCAAGGGTGGAAACAGTACGCACTCAGGATTTTAAAAGAGAATGCAAATGTTGCATGATTTTGCCACTTTATTTATTTATTTTTCTGGTTGCCTAAGATTTTACTCCCAAGAAAATGTCAGTTGAAGTGCATTGCATGAGACTTTGGAATAAGGTTGCAGGCATTTATGCTTTTTTTTTTACTTAATCCATCTTTGCTGTGGTTATCAGCTTGTATAAATATCTGTAATACCTTAATTCGCTCTTATTTATCTTGTGAGTTTGTGTTATAAGTTGAAATTTTTATTTGAAACTCAGAATAGACTAAAACTTAGATATCCTGAAACCAAGTTAATTCAGTAAATGGTGGCTGTAGTCCAGATTTTCCTTCCTGAGCTGGAGATTCAATTATCTCATGCTCCAATTATCTCACTTTTGAGTCTCTATGGACAGTTAAAATAGACTGAACCAGGTCTCAATGGGGTTCTACAATCTTGATGGGGGTCTGCTGCTAAATTTGATTTGTGTCTTAAATAACATGTAGGTACTTCTGTTTTAGCATGGACATTGTGTGTGTATGTAGATTTAATAATGGATTATTAGAGTTGGTGTACAGTGTATTCTTTAAACGAAAAGCAAAATAATGTGTGAACTCCAGGATCTTGTTCAACAAGAACTATGAACTGTTGAGGTCGGGTTGCACCGCAGACCCCCTCTGAGTTGCAGCATTTTACTGCCGATCTCTGAACCTTTCTGCTGTGCTAAATGTGTATAAATGGTTGCCCTTTCCCCCACTATTACACACTCAGACGTTCCTGCTGGCTGAAGAGTATCATCGTGAATCCATGCTGGTTCAGTGGGAGCAGGTGAAGCAGAGAGTTCTTCACACTCTGCTTGGAGCCGGAGAAGATGCTCTGGACTTTAGCCAAGATGTGGAGGTATGAGAGAGGCATCACAAGGTGACAACCGAATGAAAATAAAAACTATCTTTTGGGTTGATCAAAATTATATTACTGTACTACTTGAATAGGAAAGATTTTGACTTTTATTTGCATGTTTCTTACTTGGGTATAATATATTGAATGTTATTGTTTGTATTATACAATATAAATTTGGATTATTAAGGTTACTCAAGTCCACAGGCATCTATTTGTTTTAATGAGTCTTTCGTTATTTTTTTTCAGCACGGAAAAGTCTTAGTATAAGTTTTTATTATCATTTGCCCGGGAAAGCTTGCAATAATGTTTTGTTACATCCGTCTATGTTAGTTTGTTGGTATTGTTAGCAAAATATCTCATTGAATAGATTTTAATGAAACTGAATGTAATCACTGGATGGTCAGCTTATTAACTTCTGGGGTCAGTTTAATTCAAGGTGACCTCCACAGCTAAGCAATCTTAACAAACAAACAAACAAACAAAACTGGTTATACCCTAGTCAGTTTTACAGACATTGTTAAAATTAGGTGTTGTGGTAGCTGATACCCAACTTATTATCTGAGTGCAACACATTGCAAATATATCTTTGCCTAAAAATTTGGCAACAACTGTTGGAAGTAATCCTGATTGTCTGTTTATTAACCTTTATTTCACCAGACAAATCCCATTGAGTTCACAGATCTCTTTTACAAGGGAGGCCTGGGCCTGAAGGCAGCCTAACATGCATGTTTTTGGTCTGTGGGAGGAAACCGGAGTACCCAGAGAAAACCCACTCAAGCACGAGAAGAACATGCAAACTCCACCCAGAAAGACCCCATGTCCAACTGGGGATTGAACCCAGGACTTTCTTGCTGAGGCAACAGTGCTAACCACTGAGCTGTCGTGCTGCCTGATAGCAAAATATTTCTAAACCATCAGACAGACGTCAATGACACTCTCAGAAAGTATCATCTGGTTAACTTTTGGAGTCGATTTCGTAATCAGTATGGCTGCAACAGTTAATTGACATTAGCAAACACTAAAATTACTACATCTACGTTAATATTACAGATTTGAGCTCAAATTTGATGTGGTTGTAACTAACAGTCATTTCCAACACATACTTCAAGCACTAACAGATCATGCAACTAGACGTAAAATATCAATACGTGCACGAGATTGTGCATAATTTTATTTTCAAGGTTTAATCAATTTATCAGCATAACATGATTTTAGTTTAAAACACTGATATGAAATGTGTCAGACTTTAATTGGTAATATGATGTCATTTTGGTTCATGGTAGTTTGGTGGTTCATGCCGTGGTCTTGTTATCCTGAGGTTGCAGGTTTGAGCCCAGGTTGTGTCATTTTTATGCTGATGATACACAGTTATATTTGTCCATGAAACCCAATGAATCCAATCAGTTACTTGGAATACAAGCATGTCTTAAAGATATAAAAACCTGAATGACCCCAAATTTTCTGCTTTTAAACTCAGACAGACTGAGGTTTTGGTGTTTGGACCTGAGCATTTTAGGAACAAATTTTTCAGTCTTTCGCCCTCCTTGGATGACATTAATCTGGCTCCAGCTCTAATGTTAAAAATCTTGGTGTTATTTTTGATCAAGACATGTCTTTTATCCCCCACATTAAAAACTTTACTAGAACAGCCTTCTTCCACCTGCGTAATATCACTAAAATTAGAAACATCTTATCTAAAAATAATGCAGAAAAACTGGTTCATGCATTTGTCACGTCTAGACTGGACAATTGCAATGGTTTGTTATCTGGGTGTCCAAATACTTCTTTAAAAAGTCTTCAGTTCATCCAAAATGCTGCTGCCAGAGTTTTAACTGGAGTTAGTAGGAGAGACCATATCTCTCCAGTTTTAGCTTCTCTCCCTGTCAAGTCCAGAACTGAATTCAAAATCTTACTTCTAACCCACAAAGTTCTCAACAACCTAGCTCTATCTTGTATTTGGAGATCTTATTGTTCCATATTTTCCTAACAGAACACTTCGCTGTCAGACTGCAGGCTTACTCGTGGTTCCTAGAGTTTCCAAAAGCAGAATGGGAGGAAGATCTTTCAGTTATCAGGCTCCTCTCTTGTGGAACCAACTTCCAGTTTCTATCCGTGAGGCTGACACATTGTCCAGTTTTAAGACTGGGCTTAAGACTTTCCTTTTTGATAAAAATTGAATAGTTTTCATTTGATAGTATTTCTATCTTAACATGTGATTCTTGACCTGCCATTGTGTATCTGTTCCTCCTTCCTGTTCCTACAAAAATCAGCCAGTCGAAGCAGATGACCGCTTGTCCTGCGCCTGGTTCTGCTAAAGGTTTCTTCCTCATGGGGGAGTTTTTCCTTTCCATTGTTGCCTTCATGCTTGTTCAAGATGAGGGTCTGCGATGGAGTTAAATTCAAATCAGTCTGCTCCTCAGATAAATAATGTTAAATTATTATTTTTATGTATGAATGTTTCTGTTCAGTGCCCTGAGGTGACTTCTGTTGTGACTTGGCTGGTGCTATATAAATAAATTGAATAGAATAGACTTGAATTGAAAGGCATCTGGTGTAAAATCGTTGCCAAATTTTTAATGCATGTTCACTCGCTGTGGCAACCCCTGAAGAAGGGAGCAGCTGAAAGAAACTTACTTACTTACTATAATGTCATTTTGGGGCTTTTTTCTTTTATAACACATTTTAGTTTACGATCAAATTAGCTGTCGTTTGTCTGGTGTTTGCAGTTAAATAGTTAAAATCCTAAAAGAATAGGTCATCCTCCGTTTACTTCCAAGTTTGATCATGAGCTCATTTTAACGACTGAACTATTAATTCAGTCACTGAAAAAAGCACATTTTTTGTGTCATATTTTAACTTTTTGCACTGAATATGTCTACTTAAAAGCTAGTTTCAAGCCTTTCAGCCCACTTCCTGACAGAGTGTATTCTTATCTGTCAGCCCACACATCTAAACGGACCAAAAATAGAAGTCTAATCTAAGAAGTTGCTATTTTTAACATCATCCCATGGAAATTAGGACTTGTTTTTGTTTGTGTGTCATCCTGTGAGATTTAACAGTGTATCTCAGTATTCATTGGGTAAAGCACATATAAACCCTCTGGACTGTTTGATCTGCTGTCTGGACTGGAAAGATCTGTAAATGAGCATGAAAAGAAGACCCATCAGAGATATTTATTGGTGTGGCACCAGTGTTGCTACAGATGATAGACATGTCTGCTTTTTGTTGTGCTCTTGGTGTGTTACAGCCAAGCTTTGTGAGTGAAGTGACACCTCCAGGAAGGAGTGCGTTGGACAGTGTGGAGGTGGCTTATGGACGGCAGGTGAGTCAGCATCAGTCTAGTCATTTTTATTCCCATTATAATTTCAAATCAGTGTACAAAGTTAGCTTTCTATGAAAGGTCAATTTTACCGTTTTTGCTCCAAGTTGTCATGTTTTGCAGGGCTTTTAGCTCATAAATGTAACATTTTCTACTTGTTACTTATCAGTAAATAATACTTGCATCCAGCTAATATTAAATATTGAAATCCAAGAAAAAATGCAGTAAAACTATTAACCTATTTGACTGCGATACATTTTAATGGTCTAAGCGAATTTCTCGTTTACTTACTAAATATCATAATAGAAGCAGGATTATTCTAAACAAAGTCCATCACTAAATTTGACTTTGCTTAAATTTAACTTGAAAGCGTTTGACTCTTTGAAGCCGTCAGCCTGGTCATTTAGTTGAAACGGGTGCAAAGCGAGCCAGGAAGCAGCGGATCAAAGATATTGATTCATTTTGGCTTCATCATCCTCTCTGACCTTCTGTTTTTGCCTCCGTGAACATTTTGGATCTGCTGGATGACACAGAAATTTAACTCCAGACAATGTGTCGCCACATCGCGTGCGGTGTCATTTGTCTAATTTTTGTGATCCTCTTCGACGACCTCTTCAACGTTTTGATTCTCTTTTTGCTGTTTTTTATCGCCAAACATTTCATTCGATGGGCATAGGAGTTTACCTTTAAGGCTGCAGATTAGGGATTAAAACCTCCCAAAATAAACCCTCTTTAAAATTAAGCATTTTTCAATTCGAATAATTCCTTTTTCACTCCGCATTTTTTTTCTGTCTCTTCTTCAGATTTATATTTTCAATGAGAAGATAGTAAATGGACACATTCAGCCTAATCTGGGGGATTTATTAGCTTCAGTTGCAGACAGCCTTGATGACAAGGTAAGAACACAACACGGCCTTTTATGCCAAACCGCTCATAAACAGGCTTCAATAAGCTATGCTATTACAGTAAATACCTGAAAAATACATGTGCAAATAAAACTGCATGAATGTCGTAGGTGCAAATACAAATTTAGGTATGCATTAGCCCCTTAGCTTTTCTCTGAATGGTGAATACCTTCGTCACACTGCTGTTTGACGTTTTCCAAGTAAATAAATGAAAATTAAAGACTGTTATTCTCATAATAACTACTCCATAAGTCACCGACTTTCCGCTCTCCAGAATGTATCGGAGTTGTGGCTAATGGTGAAGCAGATGACAGATGTGTTGCTGGTTCCGGCCAAAGACACCCTGAAGAGTCGCACCTCAGTTGAGATGCAGATGGCCTTCGTTCGCCAGGCGCTCAGCTTTCTTGAGAACAGGTGACTGGCCTTTCTAAGTGTGTCTAGCAGCTGACTTGGTTTGAATTTATTTATTAATTGTTTTGTAGATGCAAGGGATTCATTAGTCTAAAATGTAGCTCAGCTGCTCCACTTTTAACTCTGCTGCCATTTGTGCAGATATAAAAACCACACAATGGGAACAGTCTTTGGGAATCTTCATCAGGCCCAACTTGGAGGTGTCCCTGGAACGTACCAATTAGTCCGCAGCTTCCTCAACATCAAGTTGCCTGGGCCTCTACCTGGCATGCAGGTAGGTAACACACATGCAGATTAAATCATTGGTCTTTAGTTAAAAACCCGACCTAAAATTGATTAATTGATTAATTGTTTATCGTCACAGGCCTAATTTGGACTGTGGTCTGCCATTTGGGAACCCTTGATTTGAATGTTAGATTAACAACTGCAAACATGCAGCCTTCCTGTAGAGCCAACCAGCCTTTAAGCTGTTAGTTAAGCATCATAACCAGCTAAAAGTCAGGTTGAAAACAAGCATGTCTTACTAAGTACCCTGATCCACACTGATAAAGTAAATTAATATTTGTGACATAGACCTCAGACTTGATTAGTTAGACAAAGTTGTTTGTGCCTAGTAGATCATAATCCAAATTTGAGATTAAGACTTTGCTTTATACCAAATGTGCCTAATACAGGATGGTGAGATAGAAGGCCACCCAGTGTGGGCAGTAATCTACTACTGCCTGCGTTGTGGAGATGTGAATGCAGCCATGCATGTGGTGAACAGGGTGCACCATCAGCTGGGAGACTTTAAGACCTGGTTTCAGGAGTACATGAACAGCCCTGAAAAACGGTGAGAATAGCTCGGGTTGACCTGACTGAAAATTGTTGGATTGTATACCTGGATTATTGAGCATGGACTTTGTTAATATCTCGGGTTCTTTTTGTTTTCAGCTGGGAGAAAAGAATAAATGAAATAATGATTCTCTTTTATATTTCCTCACACTGACTCTGCATCTTTCATTTCTTCAGCCTTTCCCCGACTTCAGAGAACAAGCTTCGTATTCACTACCGCAGAGCGCTGAGGACCTGCGCTGATCCCTACAAAAGAGCCGTCTACTGTCTGATCGGGAAATGTGACGTCAATGATAATCATGGAGAGGTGGCAGATAAAACCGAGGACTACCTCTGGCTTAAGGTACAGATTTACTGTTTCTTTTCAATTCAGAGATGGACCTCAAAACCGTATTTTTCTTTGTGAAGCAATACTGTTTGCAGCCCTTGCACTCTTGTGTTTTATTTTCTCCTGCAGTTGAACCAGGTGTGTTTTGACGATGACAGCAGCAGCAGCTCTCCTCAGGAAAGACTCACTCTGCCACAGTTACAGAAGCAGCTGCTGGAAGACTACGGTACGTCGCTGCATCTTTTCAGCCTTAGAAATAATCACAGACGTGAATAAACACCACTTTGTGCAGTTCTTCTCATTTTCTAGTCATCTATAGAGTGTCGTCTCAGATTTGAACAGACCTTACCGGAATAATTTTTGATTCCCACCTCAGATTAGCTCTGTAACAACCCGTATATTGTTTAGAAATGAGCTTACATTTTCTAAACATTGTAAATGTATTACTCTAGTTCCTATGTTGGACCATTTATAAAGCAAATTGATTTTTTTTTAAGATGCTTTTAAGTTTATTTATTTTTTGTTAATCCACAAATTATTTAAGATCCAATCTTTATATCTTCTTCCGATAATGTTTTTTTGAATCTTAAAATATTTTCTGATGCAGGTTGAGTGAAGGGAACTGACATTAGCAACAAAAAAGCCACATATTTGATGTCTTGGTTCACTTCCTTAGCTGAATATTGCTGCACATGAATATGAGTTGTTTGTGTTAATAAATCCGTCAGCTTAGCTTTATTTATTTCATGAAGTGTAGCACAAAGTAAAAGCAATTAAAAAAAAGAACCAAATTCACATGCAAAATAAAACAAAGAATATGATAATAATGTAAAATGGTTAAACAATAGTGGCTGTAACACGAAGGAACTGATGAACTATTTTATTGTTGAGGAAACACCAGAGGTAGCTATTTAAATATAAAATAAAGCATAAAAACATGAAAGTTAAAATCTAAAGATTTGTAAAACCAAGACACAAAACGGGAAGTTCTCAAACATTTCATCTGGTAAAATAAAGGTCATATAAATGAAAAATAAAATTACAGTTTAATTATTTTTAGCTGGCATACATTTATAACAAGCACCAATTTACTGAAATGATGTCTGATATTCTGAGAATATTAAGGAAACGTTATTTATTTTATTTTTTGACAGCATGCTATGTTCCAACTCATCCAATAGGAAATGGAAGAAAAAAACTGGAAATGTTTTCCAAATTATCTATTTAGAAGAATATTATTTTCCAGTTCAATATGTGACTCTTTGATTGATTTTAGCAGATCTGTATGGCCCCCTCCAAACCAAATGTTGCATGTACAGAAGTCTGTGAAGCCCAAATTACTTCTGACTGTAGCGTCTTGCATGCTAACTACAGATCATTAACCGTATGATGCACATACAGACTACAACTTAAATTGCTCAGCTCTGAAGCTTGTGAAGGTTTGACCTTTAATAACACTATACAAAGCTTCACTGGACTTTTACAAATGTTTGCACATCAAACAATTTCTAAAAATTTACGATCTGAAAATCTGAATCTGGACAAGCAGTTTTATAATAGATGCGTAGGAACCTGTTAACTGCTGAATGTAAAAAAAATTGCAACAGTTGTTTATCTTTTATGAGCTAGGTGTGGTTTCTTTCTTGGATATGCTACTGCTGCCAGTCACCTGGATCCTGTAGAGATCCAAATTGGATTTATCCATCAGTGGTTTCCTGCCGTTCATAGAAACTGAGGACTGGATTGCAAAAGTGACCCCTGAAAGGAGTCGGCATGCTTGAAACAAACTAGGTCATACTCTCCGACTGTCCCTGGCTGCATCACGCTGTGCCCCTGATCTCTCCAAGAATTACCGTACAGTGTCCTGGATTTCTAAAAGCATTACATATTACCCTGAAATAAAGGCACAGATACTGGAGCTCCTCGAAGGCATGAACGTTAGACATGAAGATGTTCATCACAGGTAAAAGCTGATATATGTTGGATTTGATTTCCCACCCATGCTCATTTAAGAGATTGTTTTTAATGCCATAAACCTCTCGGGGTTTTCTTCTGAACTATAAACAGTAAAGGTGAAGCCAGGCTCGGTCAGTTTATTTTTATTTTTATCAAGTGTTGGGTTTAAGACACACTTCTCGGTTAATTCACCGCTTGCCCCCAAATGAGCAGGAATTTGTAGAGCAGGAGCATGTGACCATCCCTCCTGGATGGAGACTGAAATAATACACGGTTTTCTCCTGAGCGTTGCTCTTTCTGTGGGCCATCGCTGCCTCGTTTAGATAAGACGGCTAACCCTCTCGACGTTCCTCTCCCACTCGCTGCTCTGTGGGAAGCACAGCCCAAAGCCCTGCTGCTCGTCTCCCTCGATTGTTTGGTGCAGTGTTTCTTGTTGTCCTCCATTTTGCTTCACAGCAGGACTCAAAGCCCAGAGACCTTTCTTAATTTCTTACACACGCTGCCAGCGTTCAGCAGCCTTGTCTGCTCTGCTTCTCTGCCGCTCATTTGCTGCGTTTCTGTCCTCTCCTTTTATCTTTCATCCTTCTTTCTTATCGTCATTTCCTCGCTGATTTTTGCCCTCTTTAAAGTTCTCTCCTTGCATATATATTTGTTCTTTGTCATTTCTTGTTTGCCTACTCGGCTACAGCCCCCCCCTCCCACGCACATTTTTCTATGTTGCCTCCTTCATCTTTTTTCTCCTCATCCCTCCCTCTCTCCCTCTCTCCCTCTCTCCATCCTCCCTCCATGTGCTCTCGTGCTTTTTGAACTAAAACGCTGCAAGTCTGAGATAAGGCTGTAAAATGGCTGACATGGTCCACACTGTTCTACTCCTCAAACTTCCAACCAACTAGAGGATTAAGAATTATAATTAAAAAGTAAACTTGATGACTAAGTACCTGTGCTCAACAAAATATATACATTTTTTAATTTCTTCTGGAAATAGTTGATAAGATGTGTACAGACCCTGGGAGAACTGTGTCTAAATATTCAACAAAATTAGCTTTTTTAATATCTACAGTGGTGCTTGAAAATTTGTGAAGCCGTTAGAATTTTCTATATTTCTGCATAAATATGACCTAAAACTAGGGATGCATCGATCCACTTTGTAAAATTCCGATCCAATCCCGATACCTAGAGCTGAGTATCGGCCGATACCGATCCAGTTCCGATATCATGATCGTCATTGATTTTATATGAGGCTGTAATAATCTCCTCTCAAGTACAATTTGTACAAATATATGCATGCATGTCCAAAAAGGCAACTTGAGGTAAGTTTTATTAATGTTGGATAAGTTTTAAAGTTAGAATTAAATTCTGCTAACACAAAACATGTTTCTTTTTATTCCTAGCTTTAAAGTGGATATTAAAGTGATTAATTTAAGTGATTGTTTAAAGTTGTTTTATATTTTATAAGGGGCAGATACAAGAAATTTTTTCTTCTTTCTGCACTCTTTTCATTCAATGTTTTCTTTTTGATTTTTTTTTTTTTAATTTTGTTTCATTTAAATTAATGAATAAATTAATTAAATTAAATGTTAATGGCTTCAGACACCTGCTAAGTTCATGGCATAAACCAACAGACATGTTCCTGTTTTTAGTATTTTACATCACTTTATAATGTAGCTGTTTGTTTTTAATATATATAATTTTCAAATCATGTTTTTTATGATTGTCTACTGTTGTACTGATAAATATCTCCTGGAGGGTAAACTATATCTTGGCTGCAAGTATCAAGCTGTGAAATCCTTCGTTTTCTACAACTGATAGTGGTTGGTCATGAATCATGATGAAGTTTAGCAACTTCTCTGTAAACATTTGAGCTCCTTGGGTTCAGCGATGTCTTCCTCTTCTTCAATCCGTAGCAGGCAGCCTGATTTGGGGCAGCCGCACTCAAGTCTGTCCCTCCTCAGAGACGGGCAGACTGAGCGGGGCAGATTGGACGCGACTGGCCAGTGTCGAGTCGCCTCCTTCGGTTTGACCAAAGAGTACTGCCCCGCTGAAGCCACGGAGCTCGAATGTCCATCGTAAAACTAACTTTAACGTGGTTTAATGTGGCGCTATGGCTCTGCAGACATTGCACGATGCTGTCTTGTGGTGTTTTTAGTGTAAAATACTTCCACACAGCGGACATGTTTAGATGAAAAGTTTGTTAGCCGTTAGCCACAGTGCTGCTAACTCAGCCCTCACGTTGTAGCTGGCTGCAAACTATGAACTGGATTTCCTGAATGTGAGGTGGGTCTTTTACTCTGGGCTCATGAGACACGCCGCCGTTCAGGAAATCCATTCCATAGTTTGAAGCCAACATGCATTGTGGATCGGAAAATCCGATACGTAAATTATGCTGGTATCGGAGGCCGATACCGATACTGGATCGGATCTGCCCCATCCCTACCTAAAACATCAGATTTTCACACAAGTCCTAAAAGTAGATAAAGAGAACCCAAACAAACAAGACAAAAATATTATACTTGGTCATTTATTTATTGAAGAAAATTATCCAATATTAATTTTGTTGGTGAAACTTCTTCTAGGCTTACACTTACACAGGGGGAGTGGTGGCGCTGAGGCTAGAAGATGGGTTTGTGATCGTAAAGTCGTAGGTTCACCTCCCGGTACCGTCGACATCAAAATGTGGGTGGAAAAGGTGAAACACCCACTCCTCCCTCCACCCTCATTCGCTCCACTCTGGGCCCCTGAGCAAGGCCCTTAACCCCCACCATCTGCTCCCCAAACAGGTCTCTCTTGAAAATGAGTTCTCGCGGCTCAATGAGACTACCTGCATAAATAAAGGGTAAATGAAAAAAAAAAACTTCCAACCTAACTGATGTATTTATCTGCATACTGAGCAAATCTGAGCCTAAACACGTACCAATGCATCAGAATTGTCCGATTTGTTCATCTTAAACAGTTCTTCCACAGATGCCCTATTGTTGACCTATTTTCAGTCATTCACAACAGTTTTCATAGATAAACGCATCTGGTCACAAACACGTTTTGTATTTAAGAACACATTTACCATCAAAATGTGAAAAATATTGTGTGGATTTTGTTTCTTACCGTATGAATAATAATAAAAAAAAAAAGGTTTTCATGATGTTGCATTGAGTTCTTTAAAAACTACCTTACAGGCTAAGTTTTGTTTGTTTGTTCGTTCGTTCATTCATTCCAGGCTGGAACTTGTTTTTAATGATTGTTACCATTTTTTTAAGCTCTAGCAAATGCATTTTGATGTTAAACCTAATACAGTAGTTCCTCGTTTAGGATCTGGAACCCCCCGCAATAAGTGAAAATTCGCGAAGTAGAAATGACAGATTTTTGAGTTGAAACAATATGATGAACAAGATGATTGTGGACTTCAGAAGGAACAAACACACCTACACCCCCCTGAACATAAGAGGATCTGCGGTGGAAGTGGTCTCCAGCTACAAGTACTTGAGTGTGCACATGAATGACAACCTCAGCTGGAGCAACAACACCACCAGCCTGATCAAGAAAGCTCATCAGAGACTCTACTTCCTCAGGCGGCTGAGACGAGCTGGACTGGGAAGCTCAGTCCTCACCTCCTTCTACAGTTGTGCAGTGGAGAGCATCCTGTGCTCCAGCATCAATGTGTGGCATGGAGGCTGCACAGCTGCAGAAAGAAAAGCTTTGCAGAGAGTGGTGAAGGCTGCACAGAAGTCTGTTGGAGTCAGCCTCGCCACCATCACAGACATCTACACCTCCAGATGCAGGAAGAGGACCACCTGCATCATGAAGGACCCCACTCACCCAGCACACACACTTTTTGCCCCACTCCCCTCAGGAAGGAGGTCGAGGAGCATTAAGTGTAGAACCACGAGACTGAGGAACAGCTTCTACCCTGAGGCTGTTACTCATGAATCTCTAACTAGAATAATCACTGTGAAAAATCACATCATGTTGCTGCTGCTGCAGTTTCATGTTGATGTGTTCATGCATGCTCATCTGCTCACACAGACTCATGCTCATGTTCGTGCTGCTGTTCGACGTACTGTTTTTATGCTATTAGTGCTTAGTGCATTTTTAGTTGTTTTTCTTAGTTCATTTCTTAGATGTTATCATTGTTTTTCTTTTACTTTTTATTGTTGGCTGTAACTGGGACCCTGTGTACATAATTTTGTTCCACCACATGAACCACATGTGGTGCGAACGACAATAAAGAATCTCTGAATCTGACTCTGACATACTAAAACAGTTCAGTCAACAAATAAATTTAAATCAACTAAACTAAAGCAAAAGTTTATTTAGCAAGAGTTTATTAATCAAGATAACTTGATAATGTTTATTCTCTCAACTTAAAATTTTAAGTTGAGTGAGTAGTAATGCCTTTTTAACTCACCAGCTCTACAGAAACAGTGGCTTGGTTTTGGTCCGGCAGACCTACCCTGCTGGTTCTACTCTGGTTCCAGTCAGGTTCTGTGCAGCCCTTGAGCACAGAAACATTTTGGAGGGAGCCGGACCTTCAGATGGCCAGCATGGGATGGTCTGTTTGAGTTCAAATCTGGATGGGGAAATCCAGATGAGCTCCATTTGGAGCTATGGTGGCGCCTCCCCACTCGGAAGGCCTCATGGGCCGGCTAGCAGCACTCAGATTCACAGATGAGTCTAGAGGTTCTGGTCCGGTTCCCGGTGGGTTCCTTGCAGCTCTGTGTATCCATTAAGTGCCCAAGTCACTGTAATAAGCGCCAAACTTTTTCAGATCAGATCAAAACATTCCCTCTATGTATTTCAGCAGAAGGCAACATGGCTTCTGGGCGGGGCACTGTTGGCTTCTGGGAAATGTAGTCGTTATGAACGGGGTGACAGTGTGGGCTTATTGAGAGAAAACTACTAAATGGCAGTGCCTGTCCAAAGTATTTTATTTTTTGTTAACTTTTTACTGTACATTACTGTATCCAGTATTGTCCCAATCACGTGAGTAATATTAAAGTTGACAATCATGACGTATACAATATTTTTTTCTTGTGTATAATCTTACTTTGACAAACCGCGAAAGAGCGAGTCCGCAAAAGTCTTAACTGCGAAGTAGTGAGGGACTACTGTTTTACTCCCGACACTTATCATTTTCTTGCAGATTTGAGTGATTAGAGAAACACTTTTTATACATTTGACTACTTTTTGTTCCTGATAGCCGTTTTCTCCAAACTTCTTGTCCAACAGGAGAGTCTCACTTCTCTGCGAGCCAGCACCCCTTCCTGTATTTCCAGGTGTTGTTCCTAACGGCTCAGTTTGAGGCGGCCGTGGCGTTCTTGTTCCGTGTAGAGCGACTCCGTAGCCACGCTGTGCATGTTGCTTTGGTTCTGTATGAGCTGCGGCTGCTGCTGAAGTCTTCTGGTCAGAGCGCTCAGCTGTGTGAGTGTATTCACATTTATTTTAGTGGTAGATCCGCACGCTTGTTGTGAAGGTTCCAACTTTTTACACGTTCTCTGCAGTGAGTCAGGAGCCTGGCGACCCCCCAATGGTGCGGCGCCTCAACTTTATCCGTCTGCTCATGCTGTACACCCGCAAGTTTGAGTCCACTGATCCGAGAGAAGCTCTGCAGTACTTCTACTTCTTACGGTAAATCATCCCGCGCCCCCAGGTGGACGGTTCTATTTCCTTCTCCCTCTCGTTGTTAATCAGGCATCGATGCTTGTGATGATTACTGCTAAATGTAACACCCCTCATTTCTACTCATTTTGCAGAAATGAAAAGGACAGCCAAGGTGAAAACATGTTCATGCGATGTGTCAGTGAACTTGTTATCGAAAGTCGAGAGGTGAGTGAGTCTTCTGGGAAAATCAGCTGGACCTGTCAGATTTCTGTCTGTTGACTTCTTTAAGAATCTGTTGGGCAGGTTCGGAGTACATGACACCTTTTCTGCCAAATGTGCTACATATATATGTTAAATATTAGATATCTTCTTGACTGCATTTTACAGCATAAATGCACAGATTTGTCTGATATTTAAATGAACTCTTGGCATGTTTTTAATGTTTTTGTCCTTTCTGCAGTTTGACATGCTGTTGGGAAGACTAGAGAAGGATGGCAGCAGGAAGGTAAGAATTTCTTGTCCACCTTCAGTATTTGTTTCTTTGCCTGGTTCACGTTTATTTTTATTTTTTAATATTTTTGTTTAAGCTCAGTGTCAGTCAAACGCCATCATTGTGTCAAATTTTAACACAACTGTTGATGAACGGAAAACGCCACCTTACTGCGTTGTGTATCCCCGCTTCCATCGTTTCTTTACATTCCTTGCTGAGCCTGCAGCGCTCCGCTCGACGTGATGTTTGAGGCTCCTTTTGTCACTTCAAATTTACATCACCGGATGTTTCATCCCACACACTGCCGCCAGCGTTAACACCTCACAGCACGTCTTCCTACACACTTCTCTGATTGAAGGCTCACTGTGTTCATGACTGAAATCATCACTTTACTTTCAGGTGCATTCAGACTTCCAGGAAAGATTATGTGTTGATCAATTAAAGTCCTGTTCAGAACAGCAAACACGCAAAACAAAAGAAATGAGAAAAGTAGAATAAAAGGGCCTGACTGGGTGTTAGATTTAAGAAACTCCTCACATCTACGGCAGTCTTTTATTTAAGTGAGTTTAAACTTGCACTGATAGGTCGAGGGATTCAGATATCTTATTTTTAAATGAATAATTTCAACATAATGTGGTCACATTTCATAATTAGAGGATCCATCACAAAAATCTTTCTCAATATTTAAAATATAAACAAAAAATACATGTCCTTTAAACAAATGGCTGTAAGACATCACCTGCTGAGTTTTATTTTCTTCTCTTTCTGGTGTGTGTTGCAGAACTATAATGAAATAATGCCCCAGTTTTCCTTGAAGGAATGCATATCGCCCGCCACATTTCACGTCAGAGTTTTAGATTGAGTTGTTGTCGTTTTGGTCACACCTTGAAAATAAGATGCGAGAGCTCATGTGATATTGCCAGCCCCTGTTTGTGTTCCCTAGCATGGGTTTTGTGTGTCTTATAAGCATAAAGTAACTAATTACATCAAAATATGTTCGGAAAAATTAATATTTGACCATACAGTAGCAAAGTACAAACTAACGAGTCCACATCAGCTGACAGGGAAGTTGGTTCCCTTCCAGCTTCAACATCTGGGTCCATGTCATAGCTCTATACAGTCACTAGTTGTGAGTCTCAGCTACTACCACACCAAGTTATAGTTCATTATCAGTAAAACTGGCGGTGCCGTCATCATTTTCTTTTGCTAAGTTGTGGTGAACATATTACTTTTTGTGACTACAAATGTTAATTAGTTGGCACATCCAAGGATTACTTTGAGAGTTTCACTAAATCTGCCCACTGGTTCATGAGATATTTTGCTAATTCTACAAACAAACACACAAAAGACTTGAACAAATAAACGACGACTTTATGCTTTGGTGGAACTGGTGAGTTAACGTAAAGATATCACTAAAGACGGTTGCAATCTTTATCAATCGGATTGCCGCTGTGTTAGAAATTATAGGTCGTCTCAGAAAAGAATAAAGCAGGATATGTTTTCTGGTTTCAAGAACTTAATTAATTAAAATACATTCTTCAGTCCATTTTATTAAAAGCATCAGTTAATGTGTGACTGAAAAAATGTGCTTGTTTGAAAAATACATTAGAGTTTGGTATCCAACGAGTCGTCTTGTTCCTGGTGTTTACTGAAATCATCATCAAAGCAAACATTGTTCCCGTCTGAGCGTCTGGATCTCTTTCCAGCCTGGCGTCATAGATAAGTTTGCCGGTGACACCAGAGCGATCATCAGTAAGGTGGCTCTTGAAGCGGAGAACAAAGGCTTGTTTGAGGAGGCGGTCAAACTCTACGAGCTGGCCAAGGTGAGCGCAGCTGCTCGTGTTTGCATGTACTGCAGCAGAATCTTTAAAGCTGCTGAAATCTTTCACGGTCTCTGTGTGTGTGTGCTGTGTAGAACCCAGATAAGGTTTTGGAGCTGATGAACAGGCTGCTCAGTCCAGTCATTGCTCAGGTCAGCGCACCGCAGTCCAACAAAGAGAGGCTGAAGAACATGTCGGTGGCGATAGCTGAGAGGTAAAGACACGCATGAAATGTTGGTGGGGTGGGGGGGGTGGGGGTCCACTCATGCATGTCTAAGACTGGCTCTCTTTTGTGTTTCCACTGCAGGTACCGTTCTCAGGGAATAGCAGCGGAGAAGTCTGTTAATAGTACTTTCTACCTGCTTTTGGACCTGATGACGTTCTTTGACGAGTACCACGCGGGTCACGTCGACAGAGCCTGCGATGTGAGTGAGGAGAGGGGTAGAACTCCCTCATCGTCCACAAACCTAATAACGTTCCTTAAAGCAGGGGTTCTCAAACTTTTTAGGTTCAGGGACCCCCTCATAAGCCTCACGTTTATTAAATATTTTTTTCCAATTTGTCTCTTTAATGCAATGGAAATATTTGTGTAACATAAATACTTAAGACCTGTCCTTTAATAGTGTTAATACAATTTTTATACTTTTAAACATGAGGAATTTTTAATATAAGACACAATTAACAAAATTTTAATTTCAACTTCCAAAAATTACAGTTTTGAGAAAATTAACAGTATCAAAAACCACTTTAAAACTTTACCTATTCACATAATGAACATAATAAATGTGTTGCCACTCCTTCAAATTATTACAGAAAACTCTTTACATAAAACTGGACAGAATCATAACAGGAGTAGTCATACCAAGTAACAGGGCTTAATTTGTAAACTGATCGATGACGGAATGCAAATAGCAGGCGGGCTGGCATGGGGGGGCAGGGGTTCTGGGGGTCCTCCCCCAGAAAATTTTGAATTAAGTAGATGTGATTTCCTGCATTTTGGTGTATTTTAACGGGTTGTTAAACATGTACGTGCTTGTAAAATACATATATACTGTATATATGTATATGTGTATGTATATATACTGGTGTCTATGTTCTTTTTTTTTTTTTTTTTTTTGTGGACCCCAAGGCACCGGGTCGTGCACCCCTTGGGGTCTGGGGACCCCAGTTTGAGAACTACTACCTTAAAGGAATATGTATGGCCTGCTGCATTTTATACTAGAGTTTTAAGATCATCTTATGAGAACGGATCGACTGTTTTGGTCAAACCTTGTAAATGATGAGTAATTTCTTGTGATACTGTGAGATCTGTTGGCACTCACAGTATGTGTAGATGATGACTCTCAGCTACCACCACATCAATAGCTCAGTATCTGTAAACTTACTGAGTTGTAGCTCGTTTTGTGTAAGCTAAAGTCAGTTAGCAGGGGTGGCCATCTTTAAAGTAGATTGACTCCAAATATTAATGACTTTTAGATGTACATCCAGTAATTACTTTCTGAGTTTGATTAAAATCCATCCACTGGTTCATGAGAAGTTTTGCTGAAAGACGGACACGCTGTAAAAGTAAAAGAGCCTTGCTGTAAAATCGTGGGATGATTTTTGATTAATGCTGGGGTTTTTTTTGTTTTCCTGTTTCCAGGTGATGGAGCGTTTAAAGCTGCTTCCGCTCAGTCAGGACAGCGTGGAGGAGAGGGTAGCAGCTTTTAGAAACTTCAGTGATGAGGTGCCCTCAACACGTTCAACACAAAGAGTGTTTTCAGTTCACTTTTTTTGGTTTGTTTTTTGAATGTATATTTGTGTGTTCAGGTGCGTCACAACCTGTCTGAGGTTCTGCTGGCCACCATGAACATCCTCTTCACCCAGTATAAACGTCTGAAGGGGGCGCCAGCCGGCACGCCAGGGCGATCACAAAGAACCGCTGAGGACAGAGGCATGGTGAGTTTTAGAGCACAGAGGGAAAAAAAAACTGCATAAAAACATCTGTAAATGATCCAAAAACTTGTGTTTGAAGCTCTAAGTTCAGCTTTTTGGTGTAGAATGCTTTAAATATGAGGTAATCCCTGGATTAATACATCTGGTGTTTCTGTTAGTAGATATTTTTTTCAGCAGTTACAATAAAATTATATGAGTTGGTTTATTTCAAAGTAATCAATTAAAAAAAAATTAAATCCTCAATCTGCCTTCAAACAGCAACTGCGCAGCCAGGCCAGAGCCCTGATCACCTTCGCTGGCATGATTCCCTACAACATGGCCGGGGACACGAACGCAAGACTGGTGCAGATGGAGTTACTGATGAACTGACACACACACACACACACATAATACACCCCCACCCTCCTGCAAGTCCTTGGATTCTGAAGACTCATTCACAGACTCATCTATGTGCGATCAGTTCGACGTTAACAGACGTTTTGTTTTTTCATCCATCACTTCTTGTCATCTGTGTGTTTATTTTTGTTTTCTGTTTGTATCTTTAAATTTTTTGGAATAAAAAATAAAATGTTTTCAGTTGTCCTTTTATGTTGAAACATTAAATCCCATTTTGTTTTCTTTACGTTTTACTTTGTTTTTCTGCCGTAGCTGATAAATTAACGGTCACACGCTACATGCTGCTGCATCTTTTGAGCCAGTCAGCCGACGCTTGCATCACAGAAGTCTGCAGGATGTTTAAAGTCCTGAATGTGAGCTTTAAATGTCACGTCTCACAAGAGCTTTTGACTTGTGTGTCCACAGTTGTCCTCAAACTGTTTACCCCGTCACATCTGCAAGTACCTTTATTATGGCTTGAGGTATTTTTAACCCAAATTATTCCAGCAATATATCAAAAGGCATCTTTAATCAGTTTTATAGTGATAACCAAACTTTAAAAGTTGGGTTAAATCTAAATTTCACATTTTTACCATCATTTCTGTGCACATTGTTCCCTTTTTTTCTACTTTGTGCATTTTTCCCTTTCAGAAAAAGATTACAACCCAACATATACAAATCTGAATCTTGAGTACCTTTAATGTTTCATTTAGTTTTTCTCAACATGTCTCAACAGAAGGTTTGGTTTAGATGTGAAGAATAAAGTACCATCAAGTAGAGAGTACTTGGAAATTATGTGCACCAAAAAAAAGGGGAAGTCAAAATTTTCAGGGTAATAAACTGGATCTAATTGCGAGTTTCCTGATGGCTCTGAAGGAACGTCCTCTGTTCCCTGTGGCTGCAGGATCTGTGGCAGATGGTTTCAGCTCAGTTACAAGCCTGGGGCCGCAGGAATATTTCTCTTTTGGTGGGATTTCAAGGCAGCAGCGCTTTAAAAACCCAAGTTCCCAAAACGAATGCTACTTTTTTCACATTAAGTTGTTTAATGATATTGAAAGAACAGATGAGAGTTGACTCTCCACCATGGTTTGGTAAACACCAGAGCGAAGGTAAAATAATCCAAAGTGAGTTTTATGTGACCCAACCTGTTCGGATCATTTAGTTGCACATTTTAATTGTCCCAGCATGCCTCAGCTGACCTGAACAAACGGATCAGTAAAGCTCATTAAGCAGCTGAAGTTGACTTGAACCCCCCGTCTTCATCAGTTTTTGGCTCTCACTTTGTCCCTCAGTCTGACCTGAGAAAAAACGCAGATGGTGTTTTGGCTCATTCTGTTTTGGAAGCGGACGTTTTTAGGTCGAGTACATACGGCTTCACTTAGCTGAAGCATCTTTTATAACGGCTATTCAACTGGAGGCCTGGGGGCCAAATCAGGCCCACGGGTGAGCTCAGTTCACCAATGGGTTAATTTTTAAATAAAACTCTATCTTAAACTGTAAAACAAACTTATTGACAATAACTGCTGGATGCCTGGTCCCTGAGCTCTTGGCTTTCAGTAACTGTGGCCCCCTGAGCAATTTAGTTGAACAGCCTTCTTTTATTATATTTGTTTAAACAGTCAAGGAGTTTATACCAGTGGTTCCCAAAGTTAGGGTCAGAACCAATGTGGGTCATGAAACCTCAAGTCTAAGGTCCATAGCTAATTTCCAGATGTCAACTTGCATTTAAAAATTATTTCTTGTGGAGTATTTTCACCTTTATTGTTACAAAGGATAAAAGCATTCCTCATAAATGAATTTTAAAAATAATGTTGCAGAGGTTAAGGTTGTTTATATTATTGTTTATATTGTCATTATGTCCATGTTTCATTGTGCTATTTCCAGTTTTTGTATATTTAAACTGACAATAGATGGGGTCTCCACTCCTGTTTTTACAGACAGCACGGATTAGATTATAAACTAGTTCAAGCTGTTGTGTGTTTTCTATCCGCTGTGAATGTGTTGCTCCTCTCGGTGGACGCTGCTGCAGAAACACCGGCCTGTCAGGTGTGTGTGCTGCAGCTGGTGTTGTGAATCAGGCCGATGACACACACCTCCTAGAAGCCGGCTATTTCACAACACCAGGGTGGCACCGCATCACTCACCACAAAACCGGACCACTTCTGGAAGCTGAAGATGCTACGTTCATGTTCAAAAAAAGAATGCTTTTTGTATCCAATTAATATAACTTCAGATATCAGCAGATTCTGTAAACAGACGTGTTAATAAATGTTTCCTATGTCTGCTGGGTCTTGTGTCGTTTATGACAGTTTTATCAATTTTAGCTCAAGTTCAAGAACAGAATTGAAACTAAGCATCAAAGCATCAGATTTTAAATGTTAGCTTTGAGTTTTCAGCCAAGGAGAGAAATTTAACCATTTCATTTTGTAATAAATGCACCAGCAGATCATTATAAGGTAGCTCATGAACCCTGTCAGTGGCATCAAGTTTTATAAATTTACAGCCTTTTTCTCACCTGGCTGATTTAAATGCACATCAAAGGTGCAATGAATCACTTAAAATTTGATAAAGTATGAGTTTTTGCTGGCTTTAGTTCATAGAAGAAAAAAAAATACAAAAGTAGACTGTGTGACTCCATCTGCTCAGGTGTAGTTTGTTTTAACTGACCAGAAGATCTGATGGTAGTAATAAAAATCTTATGAAACATCAAGTTAAATCATTAAAACGTGATTTATGTAACGTTTAGACATTTCAGTCATGTTCAACTTTATTTACACTTTCCCCCATAAAGGCACTAAAATCTTACAAATTCTTGTAAAAACTTTATTTTTTGGAATCAACTTCATTTGCTCTTTTTTTGTCGTGTGCCACCTTTGGATATTTGCTACTTTTACCGTTTTGCAACATTTTGCTTTGAGCTATCATTTTGCTGCGTTTAGCTTGAAACTACAATTTAGCTTTATTTAATTACAATTTTGCCACTTTTAGCTACCTTTTGCTACTTTTAACTATTACAGACTTGCTGCTTTTAGCTACATTCCATCACTTTTAGCTATCCTTTATGCTATCATTTTGCTGTTCGTTTATGCTCCTTTTCTGCTCCTTTTATATGCAATTTTATTTATTTTAGCTATTGCTTTGCTTTATAGCTTTAGTATCTGTTTAGGTGATACTAGTTTTAGCCTTGTTGCTCTAATTTTAGCTTCAGTTTGCAATGCTTAACTACTGTCCTGCTCATTGTAGCTTTAGCATTTTGCTGATTTTAGCTACTATTTTTTAGTTTTCCTAACTTTAACATTGTTTTGCAAAGTGTAGCAACAAGTTTTCTAATTTTAGCACAAAATTCAAGTTTAGCTCCAGCTCTGTTGCTTTTAGCTGCTCTGCTCATTTTAGCTTGTGTCTTGCTCATCTCTTGCTGTTTTAATTTAGCAGCTCAATTCAGCTACTTCAGCTAAATCATTCAGCACTTAGGATTCATGCAAAAAAGTGCAGTTTCTCTAGTTTTCCTTTATTTCTTCAAAGCACTTTAGCTGAAATTGGAGCTTGTTTATTAATTTGTTATCTAATAATACTAATAATTAAACATAACAGCCTGCAGTTGGATCTGCACACAGAGTTGGACTGTCAAGGACAAATATTTTACCAAGTCTAATATCATTCGCAATAGGCCTATGTACAAACAATATAGTGCTGAAAGAACTGATTGTGAACTATTTCATGTTTTTGCTTTGAAAAATACAGAAAATATATTTTTTAAAACAGAGAACCAGAACCAAACATGATCTGCTGCACAGCAGTGTCAGCGATCAGAACCTGATCAGGTCCATCTGAAGCAGATGGTCTGCTTCAAGTCCAGTCTGGTCGGGTCTGAGGCCCTCAGGGTGGGACCAGTTGGCACAACCAGGATCACTGTGGCCTGATTATGGATCCCTTCAGGACATTCCTGTCTCTGATCCCAGGAAAGAACATATCTCTTCCATTCTTACAGTACCAGCTCTGAAACAAAATTTAAACTGTTCTTAGATTTTTATTGTTTCTTTACGTCAGCCCTAAGTTGTAGTTTGTATTTTCTAGAGGGAAAAAAATATATATCACAATTATTTCCTAAATTTCTGTAAATTGTTTTAGTTGAAATGGTGAAGTTAGAAAAACACAGAAAATCTTTTTGTCTTTTAAAGTGACATTCAGCGGAGAACTTGTTAAATTGACAATAAAACGTGACTCACTGTAGTTTGTATGATAAAACTCAGGAGGTGAAGCATGTCTGTTTTATCATTTTCAATATGAGAACTAAATTCTCTAATGTTTTGCAGATAAAATATTAAAAGCAGAAAATTAAAAATACCCGGAAACGGCACCTAATTTTCAAATACTTAAATAAAAGAAGTATGTATTTCCCTTATACAAACGGACTCATTAAAGCTTATAAAAATAATAACTTTTGTTATGAAGTGGATAAAAATCAATACGTTGCTTTTAATTTCTGGTGTTTAACGAGCTGCTCTCAGGTGTTTCTGATTGCAGAGCTGCAGGTGTTGAAAACCACCTGAGGGGAGGCGAGAGTCCCAGTCGACCTCAAGTTCAGTTTGAAATATTCTCATATTTTACTGAAATGAACCGAAAAGGCTTTGAGGTGAGTGAAGACACTGGTTTCAGACAACAAATGTGGCTTTTTTGTTCAGTCTGACAGGGAATTGTTTGGAAATATTGAAAAAGGAACTCCTAAAATGTGAATATTTATACTTTAAAACAGCTGGTCCTCGTGTTTTTCCTCGGCTTCTTGAGCAACAGAGTTGATGGTGAGAAAATTATCTTTATTAGTTTCATGCGCAGGGATTTTTGTTGTAAAATCCAATATATATTTGTATGTGCTGTGTTTGTGCAGGAATATGCAGTGTGGAGCATTGCACAAACCCCAGAACATGTGTCCTGTTTGAGGACCAGAAAAGCTGCCAGTGCGCCCCTGGATTTTATTCTGACCAGTGTGACAAAAGTAGGCTCTTTATCGCTGGCCTTGATTCTCTTTCTTACATTGTACTTTGTCCTAAAATGATCAATTTCTCCTTTTTATTTTTTAATCTAAAACAAAATTCCATGAATTGTTTTTACATGTGCAGTGGGTAGAGCTTGATAAAACAAATAGACTGACACTAAAAGATTGCCTCAAATGGTGAAGAAGTAAGGAAGATGTGTCAATTTTTAGGTTAGATTTTTATCCTTTTTTTTTTTTTTTTTTCAATCTTTTTTTTTTTTTTTAAACAAACAACCAGTGATTTTGATCTGCAACAAATCAACATAACTTTATTTCTTAAGATAATTGGATTAAATTTTCAGAAGAAGCAGGAAGTGACATGTCGTCCACATTGACTACTATATTCATGAACAACCGTATAGTAGTTTCATGCAAACAAAATGGGCCCTAGTAAACTAGATGTTTTAATGAAGGATCAAAGAGAAACCATTTTTGCTGTTTTGCATCTGGCATGACAGGGTGTTAAGCATCATCATGGTTAGGGTCTCAAACCATGTTCTCAAACATCATCTCGTCATGAAAGTCATTCAGTAAATAAAAAAGCATTATATTTTAAAGCCATCTATCGAGTGTTGTGAGCCCGAACGTGCTCGACGTTTTCATCATATGAAAACTGCAGAATCTTCCAAAACGTGGTGAAAGAGTAATCTCCAGGCTACGTCGTGCTAAAAATTCTGAGTGTCTTAAGCTTACCACAAACATATGCCAGTGGAACGACATGGCACTGGGGTTGTCTCGTGGCTAGCAGGGGGGTTGAATTCCCATTACCAAAAAAAAAAAAGGGTGGGGGGGTCAGGATTTAATACTTTGGTCCGAGCCACAGGCGGGCCATTTTCACATGAAACATTACCTTAAGTCTGATGCCAGACATCTTTTCTTGGTTGCAGGTTACCATACCATTTTATTTATAAAGCACTTAAACAGCGACAAGGCCAACCAAAGTGCTGAGGTTCATCATGGGGGGCCGAGATGGGGCAGGGCAGCCGACTCGGGACCCAAAGGCCCTGGCCTGGGCTCGATCCCCAGTGGTTACACATCTCATGGTGTCTCTGAGCAGGACACCCCATCCAGTTGCTCCCCGGACACCCCCCATAGCCACATGACACATTATCAACAAGAATTTGATCATGTCATTCAACGTTCTTCTCGCATCAGATCCATTGATTTTAATTTTTTTTGTTTAAATCCAGCTTTTAAAATGTATAAGGGCAGTGTTTTTTTCAAACTGTGGGCTGCGGCCTAGGGGTGCCCCAGAAAGCTGGAGTTGATAATAATAATAATAATTTAATTAATTAAAATAATAATGAATCGCCCACTTGGACGATCTGTAGCTCATTTCCAGATAAACGTGTTTGAGAGTGAGAGGTTGGATTTCTTTAGTTCTGCTGTCAACAGTTAAAAATAATTTTAATTTACATTTGTCCCCCATTGGGAATGTAAGTGTTTAAAACATGTTAGTTAATAACTTTTTTTTTTAAATGCTCATCAGCTTTAATAATTGAATATAGTGAATAAAAGTTAAAACATTCTAAAAGTTGTTTCTTTACATATATTGTAGCATTATTTGTGGGTTTGTGAGAGGGGCCTTGGCCAGAAGCTAATGCTGTTTGGGGGGGCTATGGCATGGAGAAGTTTGGGAACCCCTGTCTTAGGGGGCCAGATCTGGCCCGGGGGCCTAGACTTTGACGTGTGTCAAGTTGCTGGAAGGGAAAATGTCCGTTATTTGCTCTACATCTGTGAAACTTGGATTTAACTCAATTTAAATGTGAGGAATGACCCCTATTTGCCCCCCACCCCTAAATAAGTAAAAATGTATTTTAATTTTGAGTTGAAAGTGAATTTACAAACGACCTTGATCGCCCCTACTTTTCTTTGACAGGTGCCCAGTTAAAAGTGATGTGTGGCAAAGACTACATGGCGATCCGAGCGACGGAAGACTTCTTCACTCACCTCGGCGTGCCGCTGGAGTCCCTCCATCTGCCCAACAAGGCCTGTCACGCTCAACGAGAAGTTATTGATGACGTTTCATATTACATGTTCAAGATTTCTAAAGAGAAATATCTGGCCTGTGGAGGCAAACCGTTCAAGGTAAAGCAGGAGTATTTGTTATTTAAAGGCGAACACTTTTTTTTTTCTTAAGGTGACTCGTTTGGTCTCCCCCTTGTAGAAAAATTCAACCCACTTGTTGTATTCTGTGAGCGTGCGATCAGAACCACATGTGACTGGAAACATCATCAGAGATTCGATTGTTAAGATGAACTTCACGTGCATCTATCCGTACACCAGAAGGGTCAGCCTGCCTTTTCCAGTCGTACCTGTTTCCAGGTGAGACGTGATTTGAAAAACTGTCATTTTCCTTTGGTTTTAGTGTAAGGTGTCGGGCTTTATTTATTTTTTTAATTTAAAATATTCTTTGTTCTCTCAGTGAAACTGTGATGCATATCGATGAAATGGATGCCACCATCCGGATGCTGCTGTTTTCAGATGAAACGTACACAAAGTCCTACGCAGTAACTCCAACTATCGAGCTCAGAGACAAGGTGGGTTCAGGCCAACAGGTGCAGTTTAAAGTTGTTCAAATGCTTTTTAATTTTTAAAGGACATGGGTCCATTTTCAAAAATTCAGACTTTAAACTAAGATTTATATGGAGATGACTGTCGGAACAATACCTGTAACCATAAGAATAAAGATGTCGTCAAGTTTGTCCATAGAGGAGAAAAGAAAAGTGTGCCAACGTTAAGACTGAAGATTAAAGGTACTCATTGCAATGCTATGAACCACACTTCAGGAAAACCTTTTGTTTTAAATTCTTAGTTTGCAACCCACTGAGCAAGGAGACGTCTAAACGTCTTTTTAAAGTCGTTTCTGCACGTCTAAATTGGGTCCCTCAGAGATGCAGACTGTGACGCCAGAAGACGTCTTAGTTTCGACGTCTGACATGTTAATATAGAAGTCTTTTCCACGTCAACTAACTATTTTAAATAGGCTCTTATTATATTTAACTTATTTAATGAGCACCTTTAAACAGCTGTGGCCAGACAGAGGTGCAGATCCAGAACATGCGCTGTATGTCTATTGGTGTTCTGGTGTAACATTTGTTCCCTCTGCCTCAGCAGGTCCAAGTTTTTTTTATTATTTTTTTTAAATAAATAAAAAATCATTTTAAAATTGTCTTATGGTTTGATCTTATAAAGTTCTCAGTTGCTGAAACAGTCGGTTGCCCCAGTGCATGCTGGGAATCCAAGCTCAACATTTGATTCAGAAGTCTTGATCGAACTTCATAGAGGTGGATCAGATATTTTGCCTTTTTTATTTTTTGTTGTTGTGGTTTTTTTTTGTTTTTTTTTTTTATTGTTTTGAGAACTAAAATAAATGTGAGCTGAAATCTGGCAAATCCACATTTTAAACTACCTCTGGCCTGTATTTAATAAATCTTGCAACCTGTTTTGTGTTTGAAGGTGTATGTAGAGGTGGCTGTGACGGAGCCTGCAGACTACTTCCTGCTGCGGGTCGATGAGTGTTGGGCCACTCAGACCTCCCAGCCCAACTCTACAGAGGGACTGGCTCACAGTCTGATCCATAACGGGTCAGAGCAGCTCTTCATATCCAGTCTTTTTATAGGGTTTTTATTTTAATTGATTAAAAATTCCTCACTACCACCTCCTGTCATCTCCTCAGCTGTGTGGACGACTCCACCGTCTCCTTCCTGGACGTGGACACGTTGAAGTCTGGACAAAATGGAGAAAGCTCCACCATTCGATACAGCTTCGACATGTTTCGCTTCATAACTGAACCTCATGAGCTCTACCTGCACTGCACCGTGCAGCTGTGTGAGGTGGAAGACCAGAAGTCCTGCCTGCCTGTAAGCTCATTTAAATCTGGTTTCTCATACGAGGGCTTTATTGCAGCATACTACATGTTCAGAAAAATATAATTTGGAAAACTCAATCCTGGTCCTAAAAGGCCATTATCCTACATGTTCTCATTTGCAACACACCTGGTTTGAACCAGTGAATGGTGGATCAGGTGTTGAAGTAGGGAAACGAAGCATCACGATAGGGGGGGACCAGGACCAGGATTGGACACCCCTGGTTTATTGCATGTATCTGTGTGATTAATTAAAAATTCTTCACAGAACTGTAATTCAGTGAGTAAAAGGGAAGCAGTAAGGGAATATCCCCGCCATGGTCTCCTGTCTTATGGGCCCATAAAGATTGAAATGCCAGACAAACCTCAGTCCAGTAAGTATTTAACTCCTCTTCATGCCTCTACGGTCACTTATCAGTCTTGTTTTTTGTTCTGGCAGTATTTGATGCCTTTTTTGACATTTTTCAGGTTTGTTGACGACAGTGGTGTTGCCTGTGGCCGGCGTCTGGACTGTGTGCTTCTTTATTGCCCTCCTCATCACCGTGGCAAAAGCAGGCAACAGGCGGATAGCAAAGATGGACGAGTTCTGACGACCATGCTGCTGGCAGCAATAATAAACTTTAACAAAGTCTTTATAAACATGATGATCGTTTTTTGTTTGTCTCAACATAACTGGAAAGCTTGCTTACTGTTTTTAATAAAATTTCTTAAGGTTTGTTTTCAAAAACTAAAAGATGTATGCTACAAAGTCCATAAATCTTAAAAAAATATATTAAAAGCATACTTAATGTAGCTAAACATTTCACTGTACGGTTAATTTTTTTTTTTTCCATTGTGTTTGTCATTTTATCTTAAATGTCTGAACACTATGAATACAGAAACATAAATATGGTCAATACTGGTACTTTAAAATAACTTGCATATATATATTTTTTTTTTTATTTAATTGAAGTTGTTTCGACCTGCTGCAGTTCTCCGTTACGGCCCGCAGAGGGCGCACTTTTCACTCTGGTGTTTAGAGAATCTAGAGGAGGGGGTGGAGTCTTCACCGGAAGTATGAAAAAAAAAAAATCACGGTTCGCGTTTTTGTTTACGGTCTGAAACATATGAGGGTATTTTCATTTAGCAGTTTCGTGCCATTAGTTTAAAGCGGCTTACCTGTGTAGAAACACCCCAGGTAGAATTTGACAGGCACTTTGGATCCTTTTTTTTTCGTGCGCGTTTGAAACTAAGGAAAAAAACTTTGACCTTGAGCTCGGATGTTTGCATCTGGATGGATTTTCTAACTTCAGCATTGACTGCAGCTGGGAAGTGACGGGGAGAAAAAAAACAATCAGGAGTTCAGAAATGGATTAATGTTTACAACGGGTGTGTACATTTCTGTGGAAGCTTTTATAACTTAAAAAAAAAAAAAAGCCCACTTGTTGAAGAAAATTGTGAGAGAGAAAAAAAAAATCGGGCTGCACTTCTGTCAGGAGGAGGTTGGTTCATCATCTTCATCACACCTTTTGAAGAAGACTGTGGTCACAGAGGAAGATGGGATCTCAGCTGCTCCTCATCACATTGTTATCTCTGATGTTCTGCAGGACTGGGGCAAACTTCTCTGAAGAAAGCATCAATGCTGAGGTAAAGTGAAGTCTGTGATACATTGAAATTTACATCTGCACTGTAAGATTTTTTTTGTTTTGTTTTGTTTGCCACATTAGATCCTGTAAACTTATCAAATGTTGAAGCTTTTTATATGAAAACAAGTTTGTTTATGTCAACACATCAGAAAAGTTGAGAAGATCACTGCTGAAGTATCCAGTGATCAGCTGCTGGAGCTTTTGGAGGGGAAAGTTGTGATTCAGGCCTGATGTTGAATTCTATCTGGATTCGTTTGTTCCACATCCACACTTGTAATTGATGCAGTATGCTGTAGTATTGTCTTGCTGAAATATGTGAGGCCTTCCCTGAAAATGTAATTTGGATGGAAATACATGTTAAAACCTACTTTTCTGCATTGATGGTGCCTTCCAGATGTGAAAGCTGCCCATGCCACAGACACAAGTGATCTCACTGACTTTTGCTAATTAACAATTTTGTCCATCTGCTTCTTTGAACCACTGACATTTACAGCCTTGTTGCCCATGTCCCAGTTTTTATTTTTTTTAGATCTACAGCTGCCTTAGAATAAATACATTTACTCTGAATGGGAATTTGAATTGGAAGAGAAGATTGGGCACAACCTGCTAGCTTCCTTGGATAACTTTTACTTATTGACATTTTATAATGTATGTGACTGTTTTTGTACCTTACCCTGAAATTATTTAGTTTTGAATTGGGGCTATATAGAAAAATTGAGTTGAATATAAATAAAAATGATCCTTTTTCGCTTTTTCCCCCCTCAGTTATTTAGTTTTCTAGTTTAAACATTTGATATGTTTAACTTCTACAGTGAATAAAATGTGGGTTTGTGAAATCATTTGTTTAAACATTTTACAAAATAACTGGGGTTTGTATCTTAAGACTAAAAATGTTTTCTAGTATAACAAATGTACAAACTTACATGTAGATTTCTTTTGTACAGAAAACTTAAATGCTACCGGTTTTTTAACACATTTCAAATAATGTCTAATCAAAATTTAGACTGAGAAAGTTGTCATCACTCCTACAGATACTTGGTAGGACTCGTGTCTGGATCCCCTGAAAGTTTTGCTTTTGTGTTCCTGGAAGGTCTGTTGCTGCCCAAGTTTTGTTGCAGAATACTGTATGTTTTATCAGAGTCCAGACAATCTGAGTCTGTGACAAAAAGAATGATGGATAAAATAACCTCAAAATCTGTAAACCTCAACATAAAAAGAGAAAAACATTAACAGCACAACTACTGACAACTACAGACCCTTTCCAAAAAATTAGAATATCACAAAAGTTGTTTAACTTCCATAATTCCATTCAAAAAGCTAATATTTAATAGATGATAGATTCAGGGGCCACAATTTAACTATTTCAAGTATTGTTTATTTTTACATAATTTGGGCTTCCAGCTCATGAAACCCATGAAAACATGATTTCAAAAAAATTGAATAGTTTGGAGAAATCGGCCCAAATTTTGCAAGACATGAATGTTTTAGGGTGCATTCACACTAGCCCTGTTTAGTCCGCTTTAATCGAACTCTAGCTCGTTTTCCTAGAAAGTCCGGTTCGTTTAGGGAGGTGTGAACGCGCCATCGAACTCTGTCACGGAACAAAAAGGCGAACTCTGGCCCGGGCTAAAACCTAGGTCTCGGTCCGGTAGAAGTGAACTCCAGCGCGGTTCGAGTTCAGTGTGAATGTAAACAGACCGAGCCTCGCTCCTCAGGGTAAACAAACACACATTTCTCTGACCTTATATGGAGCCGTCAGCTGCCTAGTGTGAAAAAACAATATTCTCCATGGTCTTCTGTCTCATCTTCTGCTCATGTTAAGTCCATTTTTGAAAAATGACAAAATATAACTCCTAAAACTGCTAAAACTTGATGCCACTTCGTTTTTATTTTTATTTACAGAAGAAGAAGACGTGTCTTCAGAGGTTTTTGTGTCGTTTCTTTCAGTAGTTCTTGGTGCAGCGCCCCCACAGGCGAGCGGGGGAATAGGTTGGTTCAACAGGTTGACTCGACTGCACAGTGCAGTGTGAATGCAAACGCACCAGCTCAAATGTAAACAAAAGCTCATGAATATTGGTCCCGAACCGAACCGAGTCTACCGGACTATCTGGTGTGAAAACGACTTTAAACTGAGTGTGACACACTAATAATCTACTAAACTCAAAGCACCTGCACAGGTTTCTCCAGGTGTCAATAAATTGCTTCAGTTTGGTTAAATTGTCGCAGTTCGGTTCAATATGGGGAAGTGTAACCCACGTTAAAATCTGATATAAATAGGAATGAATAGCGGATTAAAAGTATGTGAATAGAAAATGATGTCGCTGCCCCTTTAAGAAACCAGTGTCATAGCCAGGGTGACACTGCAGTGCAAAAAACCAGGGGGAGAGAGCAGAGGAGGAATCGGAGGAAAAGAGCGGTTGATTAATTAACGGAGAAAAAGTTAATATTATAGTCAAGAAGACATAATTTACCTGGTCGGACACTGACAGGGATTTTATGAGAATTAAGTTACATCGGTTTTGGTGAGTTTTGTGTTTATTTTATTACATTTTCACAGTGTTGTATTTTTCTTTTTGGCGGAAAGCTAACGCTAAGAACGTAGCTGTTAGTAAAGAAATGCTCCATCATAAATTGTCATTAGGTTAATGTGTAAACTGCTATCCAGTTGATATATTGAATTTATGAAGAAGAATTTAATTGTTGAGGATTTAAAAGGAGTTTTGTTGTGTTGTGGCCTGTTACACAGGTCAGGTTTTTTTGATCGGTTGGAAGTTCGGTTGGAGCGGAGATCGGTCTGCCGTGTGCAACTTTGCACATTCACAGACGGGATTCAAGATGGCGAGCCAGACCCAGACCTTCAATTCATCTTCTCCATCGTAACAGGGAGGGACTCCCCTGCGTGTGGTAATTCGCTACCTGAGAGATAGGAATTTCAGGAACGAGTTCAAATTGAACTGAACAGGATTAAAGAACTGATTGAGCTACCATTATTATTATTTGTTCACCGGACTGAATCAAACAGAAGCTTTCCATTGAATCTAGAACCTGAACTTACATTTGGACTTGAACATGGATTTTAAAGTGCTATACTTTGTTTTCATATGTTATGTCTATGAATGTGATTTGAATAATTGTGGTCCACTTTGATCTAGTTGTGTTTGAGGGTATTTCCTTACCTGTGAAGGACAAGAAACAAGTTAACCCAGGAAAAAATAGGAATCCTAAAATAGGTGCAACCTAGGAAAAAAAGACTGGTCTGACTAACTTAAATTAGTCTGACTAAAATAACTTAAGGAAAAGTGACTGGTCTAACTAAATTAGATTAGTTTTACTAAAATAAACCAGGTGAACTAACAAGTAAAAAGGAGTGATATACTTTTCTTTTTTTGGGGGGGTTTTCATGTATTATATTTCATATGTGTTTTGCATTTAGTAAATTGTCGTTTTCCATTCAAAGCAGCGGTCTCTGGTGTTGATATTCTTGCTTCCCCACTCCTTAGAACCTAGAACTGGTCCACTAGTGCATTTAGCTGTGCGATATCAGTGCTACAGAAGACTGCAGACATAACTGGCCAGAAGACCATCAATGATACCCTCTATAGGATGGGTAAGCCACAAACGTTTATAGATGAGGAGGCTGGCTGTTCACAGAGTGCTGTGTCCAAGCATATCAATGGAAAGTCTAGTGGAAGGGCAAAATGTGGCAGAAGAAGATGCACCAGCAAAAGAGGTGACTGTGGGCTTCAGCGGATCATCAAACAGAGAAGATCCCAGAATCTGGCAGAGATTCAGAAAGAGTGGAATGAGGCGGGAGTCACAGCTTCAAAAATCACTACATTCAGACGCATCCGGGAGATGGACTACAACTGTCGGGTTCCTCTGTCCTCTTTTCTGATGTAAGTAAAGTGTGCCTTTAATTTGGAAATCGAGGTCCAAGGGTTTGGAGGAAAAAGGGTGAGGAACAGAACCCATACTGCTTGAGGTCCAGTGTGAAATATCCAGTCAGTCGTGATTTGGGGTGCAGTGTCCGGTGCAGGTGTTGGTAAACTCTGCTTTCTTAAATCCAAGGTCACCGCAACAGTCTACTAGAATGTTTTAAGAGGACTTCATGATTCTTTCTACTGAGGATCTGTATGGAGATGCAGGACCTGATCCCTGCCCATGTCACCAGAAGCACCAAAACCTGGTTTGTTGCCCATGCCACAGTGCTTGACTGGCCAGCCAACTCACCGGACCTAAACCCCACTGAGAATCTATGGGGTATTCTCAAGAGGAAAATGAGGGAGAGGCACCAGACCCAACAGCAAAGAAGAGCTGACAGCATCAAGGAAATCTGGGCTTCCATAACTCCCAGTCAATGCCACAGGCTGATTGTCTCAATGCCACGACGCATCGAGGCAGTGATTAAGGCAAAGGGATTCTCAACAAAGTATTGAAGAATGACATAGTTTTGAAAGTACCATATTTGGATTGATTTGTTGTGATCCTAATTTCTTTATTTTTCTGCAAAAACAGAAGTAGTGTGCTGATGTCATCACAGTATTCTAATTTTTTTAAATCCTGTTTTCGTGGGTTTCATGAGCTGGAAGTCCAAATTATGTAAAAATAAACAAACAAATACTTAAAATTGTGGCCCCTGAATGATTAAATCTATTAAATATTAACTTTTTGAATGGAATTATGGAAGTTAAACAACTTTTCCATGATATTCTAATTTTTTGGAAAGTGTATTGCAAACTGATTGCTGTTCAAAATCATAATTCTCTGAAACTGGAATTAGTTACTAGTATATTTTTCTTAAAATATAAATGCTTATGAAATTTTCTTTTAATTTAACACGGAACAAAATGATGCCATTCAGTTACACTTCTTATGAAGCTTTTTAGTAGTTTGGGATTCTTCGAGCACTTTCAGGAATACATTTTTAGTGTTTAATTGGAACTTGTTTGGAAATGCAAAAATAATTTCAAATTTTTTTTTTTTGGTGCATTGTTCTGGTCCTCCCGTGTTCATGACGTAAAAACAAAACTCCATGACCCAGCTGAGCGAACAGCTTGGAGCGTGTTTTTTTTTTTTTTAGTTCTGCTGCCGAGGCGTTTGAGAGCAGATCTTAACACTTGACAGATTCTTTCCCCCTCAGGAGCTATCGTCTTATTTTTTCTGACTACTGGCCCAGCATCCTCATTATTTCTGTCGGCAAACACAAAATCAAGAAGAAAGTTTAATCAGAATTTGACACACATATGCTGACCTCACCTCGTGTCCTACAGATTTATAGGAAGTTTTAATTATTGTCTAAAACTTCGTAGTTTCCATCCTTGTTTTGTCTTGTCAGGAATGTTTTCATGCTAATGCAAACCATCTGGTTTATACCTCTTCTTTTTTTTTTTTCTTCTGTCAATGCTTCACAAGCTCTCCAGCTATTAGACATTGGTATGTTTATAACCACAAGCTGAACCCAGCTGTCCTCTGGTGTAAACGCTCCACGCAGCCCTGCGGTACGAAAACAGACACCAGTGTTTCGACTGGACCACCTCAACGTGTTTGACTCTTTCTTCCCACAGGCGTGGCTCCGTCAGTTTGGTTACCTGTCCCAGGCGAGCAGGCAAATGTCCACCATGCATTCAGCTCAGACTTTATCCAAAGCCATCAGCGACATGCAGCGCTTCTACGGCCTGGAGGCGACTGGTGTGATGGACGCCGCCACGGCCGCGTAAGCTCAGTTACATAACTACAAAATGACTGTGTGTCTGCAGGCACAGTAGAGTGGGTTTAATGATGCTGTGATGTGTTTTAGAAACACGTGGGAGTCAGGGGTGTCTCTAAAATGTTTCCAAAGGGGTGGCCAGATGAGGGTCATTGAAACCAGAACAGAATTTGACTTTTTTTAAAGTTGCCATACGAAGACTATTAGAAAAATACTTTGATTTGAGAGTAAAGAAGTCCCCAAATGGCTCTTTTTTGCACCATTTAGTACATAGTTTGTCTCTAAAGGCTTCACATTCACCCCCATTTCTTGAGCCCCCCTTCTGGATTGAGATATTATACGTATTTATTTGTATGAAACAAACATTTCTCAACAATTATGGCTCCAAAGGAGATGCACATTTTTCTCATATCACTGGAGAATACAAGGCAACAAAACTCAACAAAGTGATTTTCTGAAGCGTTTTATTTCAGCGTATTCTTCTCCCCGATGCTAACTGGGGAGAAATTTAGAGAACTGCTGGGAGGTATAACATTCATTCTTGTTTATTTGTTTAAAAAACAAAGTTATTTAGATCCACGTATGTCAAACTTACTGAACCGTTATTAAATTATACGGCATCGAGAGAGTGGGAAACGATACAATAAAATGTGTTCATGCCGATAATTTGTGAATCTCGTCACACACAAGTTGGTTCCTGGTGGTTAATCAGAACAAACAAAAGAGAGTTTCTGTTTTAATAATTTTTCATTCATTCAACCTTTATTTACACAGATAAATCATGAGCCTCGAAGACTCATTTACAAGTGAGACCTGTTTATAGACAGACAAAAAGTAATCAAAGTGACACATGTATAGGATTTGGAGACAAAGAATTCCTATCAAACTCTCACTCCTTGGCCGAGGAGAAAGAGCCTGATATTGAAAAAAACACTCCGCACATAGTGACGCAAACATTCCACAGGGAGATGACAATATAATTATAATAACAATACAGTAATTAGCGTTAACTTTGTCCCTCTGGCTCACTTTATTTACTCTTATTAACTGTAGGATTTATGCAGTTGTCATGAATGCATTAATGGCATCTCTTTATGCAATTACAAAGTCTGGAGTTATTTCTCTATATTGTGTGTGTTTGTTGGTGTGTTAGCAAATTACCTCATGAATCAGTGAATGAATGGTTATGAAATTCTCAATGGACAAATCTAAAACTGATTAACCTTTAGAGTCGGCACGATTCAAGACGACCGTTACAGTTAACTGACTTTAGCGAGCACAGAAATGGCTATAACTCTGTTAATTTTACAAATATTGAGCAAAAACTTTGTGTGGTAGTAACTGAGAGTCATTGCACAAGATTTGTGTTTAAAACTTTGGCATCTGTCTAAATACATGTTGAATGAATATAAGGTGTTGAGGGATATGCAAGAAATGCTACTTTCAATGCAGAGAGCAGCTAAAGTTCGCATAAAACCTTTGACAGAAAGCCTGGAGAGCTGCTGCTTAGGAGGAAAACGTATTAGGTTAGGTTAAAACGTCTTCTTTTGACAGTGTCTGTTTGTGTTATTGCAGGGCCATGCGTCGGCCTCGCTGTGGCCTCCCTGACAGAAAACCAGAGGAGGCGGTCGACGCAGCCAGGAGGAAGCGTTACGCTCTCACAGGGCAGCGGTGGGACAAAGACCGTATCACTTACAGGTCCGTAAAACAGAAACAGAGCCAGCACTTGTGCAGAATGTTTCCAGCTCCACATCTGATTGGTGTAATCTGTTTAATCCAGTTTAAAGAACGTTCATGACAAACTGGGCCTGGAGCGGGGCTCTGAAGCGATCCGCAGGGCCTTTGACGTGTGGAGACGGGTCACGCCGCTCACCTTCGAACATGTACCCATTAATAACGGCAGCCACACCGAGATGGGCGATATCTTCTTGTTGTTCGACTCTGGTTTCCATGGTGATATGTCACCGTTTGATGGTGAGGGTGGGTCACTGGCCCACGCCTACTATCCTGGACCAGGCATAGGTGGAGACGTACATTTTGACGCTGATGAGCCGTGGACGCTGGACAATGAAGACCCTAAAGGTCAGTGGGTCTTTGTTCTTAAACCACAACTGGTTTCCTGTAAATAACTTTTGCTAAGGATTGTAATTGTGATGGTGTTGGCATATTTTGTGAGAAACGTCTATCGTTTGGTTCGGCAGAGTATTGTATACTTTCACCAATTCAGTATTTGTCAAATCCTTGTCAAAGATGAGCGTTTGCACATTTAATAAAGCATTGCTTGTTTACTGTATTGTTTTGATTAATGCTGTTTTAGATTAATGTTATAACATGAACTTTGTGGTTAACATTAATTGGTTCATGCTCGTCTCTCAGGTATCGACTTCTTCCTGGTTGCAGTCCATGAGCTCGGTCATGCTCTCGGTCTGGAACATTCTGATAACCCCAACGCTACAATGGCTCCTTTGTATCGATGGATCAGCACAGAAAACTTCACGCTGCATGAGGACGACATCAGAGGAATACAGTACCTGTATGGTAAGAAGCACACAGCGCTCCTTTATATTTTTAAACCGTTATTTAATGTCGCCTAAATTAAAACTGAAGCTACCAACTGCTGCGGTTCAGCATGGACCATCCGTTACTCTGAAGGTCAGTGGCTTAGAAGTTTCTTTATTTACAAACATCAAAGTTCATGTTCAATAATCCAGGTAAAAAAAATCCAACAAAGTTCAGTCAGGTCATCTGGCCGGTTTATTTTTCTTTTTTGTTGAGAAGTTTCGACCTTCATCCAAAGGACTTCATCAATCCGAGGAGCCACAAACAAACTCGGTCCCACAAGCAGCACACTCCCCAAGTGGACCTGACTGACTTCGTTGGGTTTATTTCTAAAAATTTTCCTGATAGAAAAATACAGAGATGTCATGAGTTCCTTCTAAACATTTTTCTTGTGCTTGCTCTGCTTTTGTTTTCTTATGCTACTTTTAGCTTCTAGCTACAGTTTTGCTTCGTTTAACTTTTATTTAGTCTTTACTTCTAGCTAACATTTTGCTGCTTTTACCTTTTTAGCTAACCATTTGCTTATTTAAGTTTGAGGCAAGCCTTTTGATAATTTTAGCTTTTATCCACCTGTTTGCCACTTTTAGCATTTACCGTAGTTAGTGTTTTGCCATTTTTAGATTTTATTTAATCTTTTGTTGCTTTTTGCTTTCAGCTAGCCTTTTTCTTCTTTTATTTACAATTTGTATATTTTTACTACTTGTTAACATTTCATGTTTTAGCTAAGCTTTTGCTTTTTTACCTAGCATTTTGCTACTTTTTATCTGGCTTCAGTGGTTGTGCAGCCCTCAGTTTTCACACTGAATTTTCACAGAATATGCAGTTTCTCCATGTAGGTATTAGCTGTTTTATTTAAATAACATAAATAAATGTTATGGGTAATAATAAACAGTTGACTTTCACACAAACCTTACAATGATTAAAAACATTTTGAAGTTTTAAACACAGCTTTTCTTTTTTAAATAGTTCACCAACCTTACAGCTGTTGCCTTGCAGGGACACACAAACAACCCAGAGACGATGCAAGAGATGGAAAATCAACAAAACCAAAGTCTGAACTCCACTTTTTATTATTTTGGCTTAAACCCCTCAGCTGGGGCCCTGAAATCCTTTGTAAGATGAGGGAGAGGAATGTCAGCTGTAATTTTAGGGTAATCACATAGTATCACGCTGCATGAGGATCTTTGTCAAAGTAAGGACCTGAAAAGAAGCATTGTCCAGATTAACATCTGCAGCAGAGAGAACAGTGAACCTCATTCAGAGAAGCATGCTGCTATGTTCTCTTCTCATCCTGAGTGAAAGGAAAGCCATGTTGGTGAACATATCTGTGTGTTAGTGAACATATCTGTGTGTTAGTGAACATATCTGTGTGTTAGTGAACATATCTGTGTGTTAGTGAACGTATATGTGTGATAGTGAACATATCTGTGTGATAGTGAACATGACTGTGTGTTAGTGAACATAACTTTGTGATAGTGCACATAACTGTGTGTTAGTGAACGTATATGTGTGATAGTGAACATGACTGTGTGATAGTGGACATGACTGTGTGATAGTG